CCCCTTCAACCATTTCTATTTGTGCTAGAATAACTAAGGCCTCTCTAGATGGTTAGTTCTGAGAGATAATTGTGTGTGAAACCCTTCCTTACCCTAGCTTGTTGGGAACACAGTTTCTTTCCCATTTGAAACTACACTCCATATATATGTATGGATAGGTATGAGGTCCAAAGCTTTTTTACAGTGAAAACTGCATGAAGTTCAAACCGGCACTAGGAAACAGACTGATAAACCAGAGTGTTTCCCCTGCAACCCGTTCCCTTTGTGCTGGATGAACGAACGTCTCTCCACATGCTCAGTTCTGAGAGATAAGTGTTTGTGAAAGCCGACCTTCACTTAGCCTGTTGGGAACACAACCTTTCTTTTCAGTTGTAAACTAAATTTGGAGATACTTTCGTTCATCTAGCCCAATGGAAACGGGTAGCTGGAGGAACTCTCACTCTGGTTTCTCAGTCTGTTTCTTAGTGCCCGTTTTAATTTCCTGTGGTTTTCACTGTAAACCCGAGTTGGCGCTTGTACCTCCCCATATATATGTATGTAGTATAATTTCCAACTGAAAAGAATCTTTGTGTTCCCAAAAAGCTAGGTGATTGTCGGTTTTTACAAACACTTCACTCTAAGAATTGAGCATGTGTATTGTCCTTCGTCCATCTAGCATTAAGTGCATGGGTGGCTTTAATAACTCTTACTCTTGTTTATCATTATGTTTCCTAGAGCCGCTTATAATTTCATGCAGTTTTCCATGTTAAATCGAGTTTGAACTATTACCTCCAAATATATATGTGTGTAGTGTTGTTTTCCAGTAAAAGAAACTATGTGTTCACAGCAAGCTAGGTGATTCACGGATTTCAGACAAACTTTAGTCTCAGAGTTTATCATGTGGACAGACGTCCATTCTTCTAGCAGAAAGGGAATGGATTTCAGTAGAAACAGTTACTCTGATTTCTTAGTATGTTTTCTAGTGCATGTTTGAAGTTCATGCAATTTTCACTGTAAAACCGAGTTGAGCTGTTACCCCCTTATATGTGCATGTAGAGTAGTTTTCCACTGAAAGAAACTGTGTTCCCTACAAGCTAGCTTATTGATGGCTTCCACACAGTCTTAACTCTCAGAACTGAGCAAGTGAAGAGACGTTTGTTCATATAGCATAAAGGAACTAGGTAGCACTAGAAACTCATACTCTGGTTTCACAATATGTTTAATATTGTTGGTTTGAAGTTCATGATATTTTTACTGTAAAACCGAGTAGGAAACTGTACCTGCCCATGTATATTTATGTAGTGTGTTCCTCCCTGTAAACAAACTATGTGATCCCGAGAAGATTTGTGATTTTCGGCTTTCACAGAATTCAATTTTTGGAACTGATAATGTGAGGAGGGATTCGTTCATCTACCCTAAACAGAATGGATTGCTGTAGATACACTTACTCTGGCGTCTGAGTATGTTTCCTAATTCCGGTTTGTAATTGATGTAGTTTTCACTGTAAAACCAAGTTGAAGCTTGTACCATCCCATATATATTTATATGTATATATACAGTGTAGTTTCCCACTCAATGAAAACTTTGTTTTCCCAACAAGCTAGGTAATTGATATCTTTACACTGACCTAAAGCTCAGAATTTAGCATGTGGAGAGATTTTCGTTCGTCTAACTTAAAGGGAATGGTTTGCAGTAGAAACGCTAACTCTGGTTTCTCAGTCTGTTTCCTAGTGCCGGTTTGAAGTTCATGCAGTTTTCACTGTAAAACCGAGTTGGAAATATTACCTCCCCATATACATTTATATAGTGTAATTTTCCAGTGTAAAGAATGTGTGTGTTCCAAACAACCTAGTTGGCTGACGGCTTTCACACACACTTAACTCTCAGAATTGAGCATGAGGTGAGACGTTTTTTCATCTAACATGAAAGGAATGTGTTGCAGTTGCAACATTTACTCTTGTCTCTCAGTATGTTTCCTTGTGCCGTTTTGAATTTCATACAGTTTTCACTTTCACACGAGTTGGAGCTTGTACCTCCCTATATATATCTATATAGAGTAGTTTCCCACTGAAAATAATCTGTGTGTACCCAAGGTGCTAGGTAATTGACGGCTTTCACACACAATAAATTCTCAGAATTCAGCATGTGGAGAGACGTTAGTTCTTTTAGCAAAAAGAGAAGGGTTTGCAGTAGAAAACTTCCCTATTTTCTCAGGATGTTTCCTAGTGTCCATTTAAAATTCATGTATTTTTCAGTGTGAAACCGAGTTGGAGGTATTACCCCCATATATATATATGTAGTGTTGTTCCACACTCCAAAGGAACTATGTTTTCCCTACAAGCTAAGTGATGTGTTACATTTGCACACATTCATCTCTCATAACTGAGTATCTGAAGAGGTTTTCGTAAAACTAGGATGAGGGGAATTGTTTGCAGTAGAATCACTTACACTGGTTTCTCAGTCTGTATCCTAGTGCCAGTTTGAAATTCATGCAGTTTTCACTGTAAAACCGTGTTGGGGCTAGTACCTCCCCATATATATGTATGTAGTGCAGTTTCCAGCTGAATAGAAACTTTGTGTTCCCAACAAGATGGATGAAGTACAGCTTTAACACACAATTTTCTCTCAGAAATGAACATGGGGAGTGCCGTTCGTTCATGTAGAACAAGTGGAACTGGTGGCTGGAGAAACACTTACTCTATTTTCTCAGTCTGTTTCCTAGTGCCGGTTTGAAGTGCCTGCAGTCTTCACTGTAAAACAGGGTTGGAGCTTGTACCTCCCCATATATAGGTATGCAGTAGAGTTTCCCACTGAAGAGAAACTTTTTGTTCCCAACAAGCTATATGAAAGACGGCTTTCACACACACTTATTTCTCAAAACTGAGCATGTGGAGAAACATTCTTTTATTTAGCACAAAGGGAGTGGGTTGCAAGAGTAACAATTACTCTGGATTTGCAGTCTGTATCAATGTGATGGTTTGAATTTCATGCAGTTTTCTCTGAAAAACATAGTTGGTCTAATCCCGCCCCACACAAATGTATGTAGTTCATTTTCCAACTGAAAATAATCTTGTTTTCCCAACAAGCTTTGTAAGGACAGCTTTCACACCCACTTTTCTCTCAGAGCTGAGTAGATTGAGAGACGTTGGTTCATCCATCACAGGGGGAATCGGTTGTAGAGGAAACACTTACTCTGGATTCTCTGTTTGTTTCCTAGTGCCAGTTTGAATTTCATGCAATTTTCACTGTAAAACCAAGTTGCAGATAGCACTTCCACTTATATATATATGTACTGATGATTACAACGGATAAGAATCTTTGTGTTTCCAACAAGATATGTGAAGGACCGCTTTCACACACACTTATCTGTCAGAACTTTGCATGTGGAGAGACCTAATTTCATCAAGCAGAAAGGGAATTGTTGCAGGAGAAACACTTACTCTTGTTTCAGAGTTTGTTTCCTAGTGCCGATATGAACTTCATGCAGTTTTCAATTTAAAACTGAGTTGGAGCTAGTACTTCCCTATATATATGTTTGGAATGTTGTATTCAACTGAAAAGAAACTTTGTGTTCCCAGCATGCCAGTTGAATAATGGCTTTCACATCCACTTATCTCTCAGAAATGAGCATGTGGAGAGACGTTCGTTCATCTAGCACAGAGGGGATATTTTCCATTGAAACACCTACTCTGGTTTTTTGTCTGTTTACTAGTACCGGTTTTAAATTCTTGCAATTTTCTAAGTAAAACCTAGATATATCTATTCCCTCCATATACAAATGTATTTAGTGTAACCCCCAACTGAAAAGAAACTTTTGTTCTCATCAAGCTACGTGAAGGACGGCCTTCACACACACTTAACTCTCAGAAATGAGCATGTGGAGAGACGTTCGTTCATCAAGCAGAAAAGAATCGGTTTCATGAGAAAAACATACTCTGGTTTCTCATTCTGTTTCCCAGTGCAGGCTTGAAGTTCATGAATTTTTCACTGTAAAACCGATTTGGAGCTCGTACCTCCCCATATCTATTTATGGACCGTAGTTTCTAACTGAAAAGGAATTTTGGTTTCCCAACAATGCAGGTGAAGAGTGGCTTTCACACACATTAATCTGTCAAAAGTCAGCATGTGGAGAGACACTGTTTCATTTAGCACAAAGGGAATGCGTTGCAAGAGAAACACTTACTCTGGTTTCTGAGTCTTATCCTAGTGCCAGTTTGAATTTCATGCAATTATCTCTGAAATACAAAGTTGGATCTAGTCCCTCCCTACACAAATGTATGTCATGCAGTTTCCAACTGAAAAGAAACTTGTTTTCCCCACAAGCAAGGGTATGGACGACGTTCACACACACTTATCTTTCAGAACTGAGCATGTGGAGAGACCTAAGTTCATCTAGCACAAAGGGAATTGTTTACAGGAGAAACACTTACTCTTGTTTCAGTGTCTGTTTCTTAGTGCCAGTTAGAAGTTTATGCACGTTTCTCTTTAAAAGGAGTAGGATCTAGTCCCTCCCCATAGAAATATATGTAGTGTAGTTTCCTACTGAAAAGAAACTTGTGTTTCTTTGTTCACACTTATCTCTCTGAACAGAGCATGTGAAGAGAGTTTCTTTCGTCTAGTATGATGGGAATTGGTTGCATGAGAAACACTTAATGTGGTTTCTCAGTATGTTTCCAATTGTCGATTTGAAGGCCATGGTTTTCCGAACCTGCTAGGTGAATGACGGCTTTGACACACACATATATCTCAGAGCTGGGCATGTCGAGTGTCGTTTGTTCATATAGCATATAGAGAATACATAGCACTAGAAACACCTACACTTGTTTCTCAGTATGTTTACTACTGCCGGTTTCAAGTTCATGCAGTTTTCACTGCAAAATCTATTTGGAGCTTTTAACTCCCCATGTATATTTATGTAGTGTAATTCCTCACTTAAAACAAGCTATGTGTTCCCGAGAGCCTTTTTGATTTACAGCTTTCACAGACATTCAATACTAGGAACTGAAAATGTAGGAAGGGGTTCGTTCATGTAGCATAAGTAGAATGGTTTGCTGTAGATACACTTTGGTTTCTCAGTATGTTTCCTAGTGTGGATTTGAATCATGCAGTTTTCACTGTAAAACCGTGTTGGAACTAATACCACACCATATATATATTCATATTTATAAATATAGTAGTTTCCCCCTGAAAAGAAACTGTGTTCCAAACAAGCTAACTGATCCAAGGATTTGTCCCTGAATTACCTCTCAGAATTGAGCATGTGTAGAGACGTTCATTCATATAGCATAAATGGAATGGGTAGCAGTTGAAACACTTACTCTGGTTTCTCAGTATATTTACTAGTGCCAGTCTGAACTTCATGCAGTTTCCACTTTTGAACCGAGTTGGAAGTAGTACCTCCCCATTTATATGTATGTAGTGTATTTCCCAAATCAAAAGTAAATGTGTTTTCCCTACCAGCTAAGTGATAGATGGCTTTCACGCAGAGTTAGCTCTCAGAACTGAGCATGGGGTGAAGCGTTAGTTCATCTAGGATGAAGGGCATGGGTAGCATTAGAAACAATTATGCTGGTTTTTCAGTCTGTTTCCTAGTGCCGGTTTGAAGTTCCTGCAGTTTTCACTGCAAAATCAACTTGGAGC